ATCCGTTTTGGCACGTCAAATGGCATGATAGGAGGCAACAAATCGGGACACCCTCTCAGTCCTCCTCCGCACTCGCACGGGACGTCCCAACAACTCATACTGAAAATAGTCTAAATCTTTCTCACGCTCATTCTTGATGATCATGTTATGCATGATCACACAAGCGTTCATGATGTACCAAAGGATCTTTTGATCCCAAAATCTAGCCGGTCCTCTCACAATAGGAAATTGTACTTGCAAAATCCTGAAAGCTCTCTCCGCATCTTTCCTAGCCGCCGCCTGAGCATTGTGGAAATCAAGATTTTTCTTACCTTCCGGTTTTTTCAACGGCTTCACAAATGTTTGTCACTTTGGTTAGATGCCATCCGCAAGATAGTAACCATGGTTGTATGTATGACCATTTGCTACAAACTCCAACGGTGTAGTTTCACCATTTGCAATCTTATTCATGAGTTGTGACTGATAAAGAACATTGATGTCCTAGAAAGATCTAGGCATTTCAAAAAAAACATGTCAAATCCAAGTCTCCTGATCGGCCACTACTTCAAGGATTATAGTGAAACCCTTTTTCTGGCCGTGGAATTGTCCATGACATGTCTTAGGACAGTTCTTCCAACTCCAGTGCATGCAATATATTGAGCCAAGCATACCTGGGAACCCGCGAGTTTTGGTCATCTCCAAAAGCCTTGCGGTATCTTCAGCATTGGCAGCTCTCAAATATTCCAGACCAAACACTTGCACAATTCCTACTGCGAAGCACTTGACACACATGACGGTTGACTCTCACCCATGGCCAAGTGGTCATCAACTAGATCCGCCGGAATACCGTATGCCAACATACGCAAAGCGGCTATCACCTTTTGAAAGGTGCTATGCCTGAGTTCTCCGGCGACATTCCTCCTTTGCTGAAAAAACCGATCATGGCTCGCCAGTTTCTCTACAATGCGTTTAAACAACTCGATGTTCATCTAAACTCGATGCTCATCCTAAAACGGCGCCGAAAGTAGGACTCGGGGTATGTGAGATTCTTCACAAAATAGTTCCTCGGCAATCTGTTGTGGGCATCGATCTTATCCCTCCAATATTTCTGACGACCCATAACTGAACCGTCGTGCTTCAGCTTTTTATTGATGTGCAACTAGGATCATTGTGAGGTCCTCCCTCTCGAATATCAAATTCTTCGTCAGAAGAATCCTATGACGAACTCATCTACAATATTGAATTTAAACTAGTTTATAAAACTACAAACAACATGCACCAAAATCATCTACAAAATATAAAGTTGAAGCAATACATACCTTGCAAGCGTTTTGTCAAACACCTTCTGGGCGGAGACCTGCAATGGGCCGCCAGGTGTTGTTCGTCGGAGGAATGGTGCGCTCGATGGGCGGCGGCGACGAGAGGAGGTGGAGGAAGCAGCGGCGGCGCGCAGGGATAGGCCGGGGAAGCGCCGATGGGTCGCCGGAGCAAATGAGGAAGGTGCATGCGGTGGCGCCAGCGCCTGGAGGTCTCAGATTTCGCGGGTAGTGAAATCGCGCGCGAGTCGTCGCGTTCCAGCGCGTGGGAGCGGGCGCATGAAATAAGCGACGCGCGATACCGTTTTCCTCCGCACGCTGAACCCATTATACCACGCGCGCGATTATTATGCGGCTGCTGTAGCGCCCGTTTCAGGTCCGCATGTGCGAAAAAAACATTTTTTCCGCCGCGCGGCTAAGATAGCGCGGCTGTTTGAGATGTTCTTAGTTATAAACTGAGCTCACTCTTCACAGCCTCTTTCGCTACGCGTACGCGAGGCCAGGCGCGTTGGCAGATCCATGCCGGCCGCGGTCAGGCACCCGTCATGGCCGGCGCCGATCCGCAGAGGCATGGACACGACCATGTCCATTACTCCCCATCATGCACGCAGCGCAAACGGATGGCCCCGGCCTGCCCACGACCTCCATGCCCTTTCCGCCACGCACAACCAACGGGAGAAACAGCAATCTGATCGATGAGTTCCTCGCAGCAGTGGATTGGACGTTGAGCGCATCGAAATTCCCTGACCGGTGATGATCCTTCCGAAAACAGTGAGCGAGCGCCCACCCCTTTCGCGCCGTGTGCTCTGCCCTTGCGGTTTGGATGCGAGCGGGGAGAATTTTTCGCAGCGAGCGCTGTGCCTTTGCGCCCCACCACCACACCTCCATCCCCCGAGCGCCCCACGATCTTTATTTATCATGGACTTTACTGCTGATCCTGCAAAGCTTTCTTCATCGCTGAAAGTTTTCGTCAGGCCACTTTCAGAGAAGCTTTTACCCAAGCAATCTTGGGTGATACAGTTTCAGAAAAGAGCTACGTCCCAACATTCAAAAAAAAAGAGCTACGTGGAGCAGATATTTACGAGAGTTGAGTGCGGTTGCTTCGGCGGCAAACATTGATCACTTGGGAAGCCATGCTTATCGGGAGAGTTAATGGCAGACGAGGGCGAAGCTACGCCTGACCTAATAACCACTCATGGTCGATGAACCCCTCGATCGGGACCATGGATGGACACGCACGAAAGCAACCAAGGCAGGGCAGGCGCACACCTACATGCCTGCCTTCCCATCAACGCAACGCAACGCAAGCCACGATCGATCCCATCAGTCAGTTAGCTGCACGTAATCATCCACATACACCGCTCCTTTCCGCCGCGCCGGGCAACGCCCGGCACGAGGGTCCCCCGGCGACGGCCTCCACGTACCACGCCGCGCTCCGGTAGCCGGGCCGGGCCCCGGACGCCGATCGATGCCGACGTACCGTCCGCTCCCCCACCCCACCCCACCCATCATGCATGCATGCATGCTTCCTTGGCCGATCTCCATGCACGCGTCGATCAAAACGACCGACCGATCGTCGTCGTCGACCCCGGGCCGGCCACTCGAGTCCTCTTCTCCATCGTCTTCTCCGATCAGGCTTCGTTTTGAGCGCGTAAGGCGGTACTGCGTGTAAAAGCGTACGTACGTAACCAGGTGCACGGGAATGATGGCCTCACGTAGGCAGGCAGGCACGGGGATCGGGTCATGGAAGAAAAGGGGTTTGTTCGCTTGCCTTGCCTCCCCTTTTTGCCGGTACGTAGTACGTGAGCGCATGGCATGCACAACTTGTGAGCAGGGGGGCGTTGCGACTTGCGAGAGGCAGGCAGGCCCTCGTACAGTACCTTTTGTTTCCTTGCACCTGTCATGACCCCCGATTCCCTGGCTGGCCTCCATCGACTTTTGGCATCCTGAATTACGGACACTCGCTCGATCGGAGAAGGCCGGCCGAGGAAAAGTTCAGGGACGGAGGGAGGGAGGGTAGCTAGCGACGCATCAAACCATCATCTCACTGATTTTATCTATCTGGATCGAAAATTTACCCAGGCTAGAAAACAAACAGTACAAGAAGAGGCCATTCTTGTGCTAGCAAGTGTCCGTCCATGTAGTACAGGAGTGCTAACAGTTTTGTGCTAAGTGTCCGTCCAGTCTTGTGGTAACAGAGGGGGAAATATTGGCATTGAATGCATGATGTTGCCGTGTAACCTGACGGATCGTGGCTTCGACTGATTGGCGCATAGCATAAAGCCGGATACGACCTGCCTCTTCTCCCTGCTATCTCCCTTTTCTCGATGGAGCGAGCGAAAAGGGAGCCCCGGTCCTTGTCGACCGGGCATGGATGAATTTGCATCATATCGCTGTGCTCGCATTCCGCTGGCACAGTGACACGCACGTCGATCAGGGAGGGAGGGAGAGACAGAGACTGTTTCATCGCAAACCGATCCACACAATGCAAGAAGAAAGAAAAATCTCGACGAATAATTGACACGGTACTGCATGACACTTTCAAACCCGTTTTCATCTAGTCCTCGGCTCTATCCTTATAATTTGACGACCACGCGGGAGGATCCGGAGCTTGAGTGAGGATCCACCCGAGCTTGAGTGAGGATCCGGAGAAGCTCCCCATTACTCCTCCATAGCATTAGCAGCGACCGCTTGGATTGGATCCCACATCAACCCCCCACAAAGTCATGTGCAAGTGCAGTCGCTTCGGCACGGATAAGATAGATAGGGGCAACCGGAATCAGGAGGCCGGCTTGGCTTGTGTGCGCGCGCGGTGCTCGTTTCGCTGCACGATCCGTGGCAAGCAACCGGGTTGCTTCGGGGCAACCCCCCGTCAGTTTCGTGTTCGGTCTAGCCTGGCCGGCGGCTGTGACCGACCGACCGACCGATGGGCTGTTCTGTTGGCGCGGCCGCAAGCTTTGCACCGCCACTCGTGTCGCGCGGCGTATTGATGGAACCGCCATGGCTTGTTAATTTGAATTGAACGAACCGACATGGCCTCTCGTCAAGTCCTTCCCGAATTGAACTGAATTATCTCCATAAATAAATAAAGCCAGTAAATGATGCATTATTCCCTTCCTTTCTTTGCCATTCCGCCCATAATTAGGAGAGCAAATGCCTCGGAATTCAGTTTCTGAGCGAAACGACGGTGGCAAAAATGGATGTTTTCCAGCCAGAAACAACGCAGGCTCCTCCCGGGCACGAGACCAGCGGCCCGGCTCCGCTCCTGTCACCTGCAAAATGCCCGAACTGCCCTCCAAGCCTGGCCGCATTTGCACCCGCGATGCACCCGTTAACTACGAGCCAAGCGAGTGTAGGCGAGTCATTTCGCAACCTCGACCCACCTGTCAGAGCACACGTCGGACAGCATCGAGGATAGGGACGACCACGCGGGAGGCCACGCCTCATTTACGCCCGCCACGTCACCGCGCCCGGGGCCTTTAAATCCCGGTCCCCTCTCCCACTCCCCTCTTCGTCTTCTTCCGTGGGATTTCCTTCACACCACAGCCAACCAACAGATTGTAACTCGCTCCGTAAAACAAAGGGGAGGCAAAATAAACCCTAGCCGCGCCGATCGACCGCTATGCGGCCGGCGATCGCCGGAGCCCAGGATCGCCGCCTCTAGCCGCCGCGCCGACCAGTGCCCGCCCGCTCGCCTCCGCCGCCATGAGGCCCGCCACGGCGCAGATCGATCCGTCCCCGTCCCCGTCCCCCGCCGCGCTGGCCAAGTCGCGCCTCAAGCGCCTCTTCGAGCGCCAGGTGCTGCGGGTCTCGCCGGCGGAGCGGCTCCCGCCCGTCTCCGCCGGCGGGGACAAGGACAGGGAGAAGGATGACTTGGAGCCCAGCTCCGTGTGCCTGGACGGCATGGTCCGCAGCTTCCTGGAGGACGGCGGCGGCGCCGTCGGCGAGCGGGCCCCGGCCGCGCGCTGCTGCAACTGCTTCAACGGCGGCGACGCCTCCGACGACGAGGACGGGCCCGCCGCGGCCGAGGCGTCTGCCATCTCCGACGCCGCGGAGACCATCAAGGTAGGTAGTGCGCGTGGCGACGGCCGAGCGCTGATTTTTTTTTCATGATCGTCTTTGCTTCATCGCCGGCAGGCCGCTTGTCGCCGTCGATAACGCCAGGAACGAGCGCACGAACTGAACTGACCGTTCTCTTCCATTTCTCGGTGTGCGCTTTCAGGGCCTCGTCCACTGCGCCAGTCTCCGGGAGCGCAACCTGCTCGCCGACGTGTCCACGCTCGTGGAGCGCCACCGCGCGGCGGGGGCGCGCAAGCGCGACCTCCTCCGCCTCCTCGCGGCGTCCCTCCGCGCCATGGGCCACGACGCCGCGCTCTGCCTCTCCCGCTGGGACAAGTCGTCGTCCCACCCCGCCGGCGAGCACGCCTACGTGGACGTCCTCCTCCCCGCCGGCTCGGAGCGCGGCGACCGCGAGCGCGTGCTGGTGGACGTCGACTTCAGGTCCCAGTTCGAGGTGGCACGGCCCACCAAGGCCTACCGCGCCGTGCTGCAGCGGCTCCCGTCGGCGTTCGTCGGCAAGGAGGACCGGCTGCGCCTGCTGGTGGCCGCCGCCGCAGACTCCTCGCGCGCCAGCCTCAAGAAGCGCGGCCTCCATCTTCCACCGTGGCGGAAGCCCGAGTACATGCGCGCCAAGTGGCTGTCCCCCTACGAGCGCGAGGCGCCTCCTCCGGCGCCGGACGGCCCCGCCAGTGCCAGTGCCAGTGAGCTCGCCGACACCGGCGAGGGAGGCGAAGACGGAGCCAAAGCTTGATTAATCAAGGATCGGCCATTAGTTGATTATTTTTTTCGCCTGGGGAATTTGCAGCGCAGTCCCCGGGCAGGGACCGGATGCAGATGTTTTTGCTATATTTTCGTCCTTTTTCTCTCTCATTTTGACCCTTTTGATGGGTAACGGAGTACTAGCAGTAACTTCCAGTAAGTACGTACCGGGAAGCAAGGAAGAGCAACTAAATAAATAAAAATTTAGTGTTTAGTCCAAATCTTTTTACTATGTTAAATTGTTGCTCTTACTCAGCAGCAGAGCAAATTTCTCACAGCTATGTGGCATCCAGTGGAGAAATGTGATCCTTCTGGAAGGGAACGAGACCATAAAAATGGGGTGAAATCGAACAGTAACCGACCTGTTGCAGATATGGAATGCACTGAGTGGCGAACTGAACTGACATGAGTAATTTGGGGTTGCTTTCTTGATCGGTTTCCGTATTATTGCCCACGCCGGAGGGATGGATGGCGTGCGGTGCAACTCGCTGGAGCTTGCCCGCCTGTGCGGAACAAGATACCCGGGAACTGACTGGCAGCGCCTTCCATTCCCTGATCTGAAATCCTGGGCACGGAGACAGCGATATTCTCTGCATCAGTAAAAAAATAACCATTTTGTGAACTGACCGGGGGGCTGGACTGGAAGCGGCCAAAATGCACGCACCACGCCGATGACGAATTCATATCGGGATGAAGGGATTAAAAGAAGCGTCTCGAATAGTTTATGATAGCGAGGTGGGTGTACTGTGCAAGCGAGGCTCTGCTCAGGTGACGGACGCGAGAACAAGTGGATAGGACCGTCCGTCCATAGGGAGGAGCAGTATTCTACATATATCCGCATCGGTGTACGCGCTCGTTCACGTATTTGTTTAATTCGGCGCCATAAACAAGTGCCGTAAACCCGAATCTTGGCGATAAGATAATCCGGGACGGGTCGGAGGGCCATGCGGAAGCGTAGATCTGTTCAGCTCAGCGCTCGCCTCCGGATCCTCTGCGATCTTTCCCTTGCTCGCGTACGCTTCCCATCGGATATAACGCTTGCTGCATGATTGGGGGAGAGGAGTATGGAGTGGTTCTGGAGTTAACCCTGTTGTCTGTTCTCAGCCTTCTTGCCGTGGAGGTGGAGTAATAAGTTTCTTGATGATCGCCTGGAGAGGAGGGGGTTTCTTTCTTGGACCAGATCGTGCATGTACTCCGCCGTGACGCTTGTCTAGATGCACCCCCTCATGAAGCATGTACTCGCACCTGCTGGTAGTACGGTGAGTGCTATCGTTCAACTGCTGCTGGTTTCTTTAATGGAAATCGCAAGGGCAGAAAAAAAGAAAAAGAAAACGTAGAGCGCTATCTGGACGCCATTAGTGATGGAGTTAAAATTAGCCCTGACAGAACGAACTAGAATATGTCCTACTGCATGTCCCAGTTTTTGCTTGGACTTGGCCTGGAAATTCCGGTCCTGCTCCGGCCACTCTCTGCCCCTCGCCACCGGCCAAGATCTGCACCTTGTCACCTGCTCTGACCGGCCGTACGCGCCCCGCCGCGGGGCATCGATCGATCGGGCTGTGCCCGTGGCAGCACCGCGCGTGCACGTACCTACGGTACAGCAACGCACTCCGGACTCCGGAGCGACCGTACTAGTACGAACGAGCGGCACGGCTCACGCGTCGCCGTCGTGGCCGTAAAATGTCGCGCGTTCCGGCGGCCGGCGTGCGACGGGACGGACCCTGCCAGGCCGGGCCCGTGCGCGAGCGATGGCACGCACGCATGCACATCGCGTACCAGTCGGAGCAGCACGCGCGCGTGAGCGTGACCGACCACCTGCGCTGCGCTGCGGTACGTGTATCGCTGCATGCACCGCGCGAACTGACTCAACAGCCGGCACAGTACAGTACAACGGACGCGCATTTACGTACGTACTCAGTATTCACCTCGCCAAGGCCAAGCCCCCGCCGCGCCGAGGGGGTCGGGTTTCGAACTTGAGATACTCCTGATCACGGGCTCAAGCTCGGAAAGAGGCTTGGGGCGGGGCACCGGCACTGTAGCTGTGGATGACACCGGCTCCACTGCGGACAAGTTGGATGCTGTCTTGGTTTCCTTTTTCTTTCTTTCTTTTTCGCGTCGTCCACTGACGCGGCTTTATTATTGCGCTGTGCCCCGCTGCCCATCACACGATGATTGCGCCCCCCCTTCCCGCTTTCGCCTTTCGCTCTCTCCTCTCTCCGGTCCGGGACGCAAAAGCGGGCGCCCCCTTTTTGTTTTGCTTCTGACCTGACGGACGGGGGAAAAGGGACACGCATTTCTCTCGAGCGAGCGCCACTCAGTGCGCGCGTGGGGCCTCGCCTCGCATCGATCCTGCTTGGCTCGCTCGGTCTTATGATAAGAATAAAGATCTACGGTCACCGGTGTTGTGGTGCGCACCAGAGCTCCCGTTAGAGTTAGGTCACTGACGCTGGCTCGCCACTGGCCGACCATGGCCGTCGTATTGCCCATGCCGCATGCCTGCCTCCGCCTACGTTTGCGCCATCACCGCTTCCATGCACGGGGACGACCGCGTGCCCCGTCCCGTGCAACGGGCGCGAGAGTCCACGGACTGCGGCGCGTCCCCCTTTCGGGGCGCACCCCCGGCTGCGCCGCCCGTAAATGCACGCTGACGGAGCTGCTTGCACTGCACTGCGCCTCTACCGCGTAGCCAGGGTCGCCTCTAGTCCTCTACCACTCGCCGTACGTACGTGCGTGCGTGACATGGACGCCTGCTTGAGTGCACGCATTGATGAGTTCCTGACGGACGCGAGCGAGCACGAGCACGAAAAAAAATCGTATGAATAGTCGTCGCGACCAGCAAGCGAATCATTGATGCGGCCTGCATGGGCCGATCAGCGGTGCATGCATGCACGGCCGGGCCAGCGTACGTGATGTGTGTGTGTGCAACCCGCAGGCTCGTACTACTAGTACTAGGCATGCAGCGTACCGAGTGCTGGGGGACGGGGTACGTTCACTGGCGGCGGTACATCTTTCATCTGGCGCGATGCACGTAGGGTGCATGCGTGGGTGTAAAGCATCTTTCGGATGCCCCCAAGATGAGGCGTACGTCGCCACTGCATGCCCGTGATCGGCTTGTACCACCACGGCGACGCGTGAACAGGAGCAGGCGTTAAGGTGCCGGGCGAAAGCATAAAATACAAAGGGCGGGCCAATGTCGTGTCCCGCGAGACATGGACGTAAAGCTAAGCTAGCTATTGCCATGCTCTGCTCTGAACCCGGCGGTGGTTCTTAAATTCTGCTAGTTTCTGAAATTTTTTAACTGACTAGCTAGCTTGTGAGTGCTCAAGTCCTTGTACGTATCTCCGCCGCGATTAAAAAAGCGGATACGGAAGTCATGGCTTCTCCCTCCCGGCTCCATTTGGCTTATATTTACGCATATATTCCTTTTCTAACGCGTCGTTTTCTTTGGACGGGGTCCCTCCTATCGGCTTCTGACCGAGTGATACATGACAGTATTCTGTCTATGAAATGGACAGTCAGTGATGCCACGCTTATCCTGAAAATAATATTTCCTTCTCAAGGCGCATATTGTTTTCTAGGATATCACATCCCTATCCACAAAGCACAAATTTCTTCCTGCGCCAACTAACCGCATGCATTTTTCTATTGCGCCGCGACGTGGGGTCTAGTTTTTCTTTGCAGAGGAGCAGTAGACATAGTAAACGTTCGGCAGAACTAGTCGTCCGCCCTCCCCTGTGCCAAGCCTGCTTGATGTGGAGGTGCATTCCTGTACAAACTTGGCAACGATTTGAATGCTGCTCTGTGTATGGCAATCGATCGACCAGTGCTGTACAGTAGTACCAGTGCTGTACCGTGGGGCCACAGAGGCACAGCGTACATGTGTATACCAGTGTATGAATTAGTCCAACCGTGCATTGATATGTAGTGACATGGTTGGTGGCGGCTTGTGTGTTTTTACTTTTGTATGTGTGCGCGTGTGTCTGCGTACCACCGAACCGGATGGCAAATTTTGCATACAAAAATATCCAACGGCAAAGACAGTGTGAGCGTCACAATTTATCCATTTGCCGATGGAACTGTGCATCCACCCTGACAGGGCCTTTTGCACGGGATCATCAACAATTGATCTCGAAATGTTATGCGGCGGCGTATTTTCTTCATTAAGGAGTTTTCCCCAAGCTTCATTTCTCAATATCACAGGAGGCCGTCTAAGTGGACGGATCCCCGTTGCCGCAAAAAGAAAAGTGGATGGATCCCCGTTGCCACAAAAAAAAAAGTGGACGGATCCCCATTCCAACACTTAAAGCTCGTTGCGCCCGTTGTAAGCAGAAGAGATCTCGATATACAACCCCTGGCCAAACAACCTAGGAGTTCTCTCTGGTCTCCGATCTCGGCGATTACCGGTCAACAATGATGACTGAAGTTTTGATGCCTTGCATAGTGCTCTGGCCCCCTTTATTTATGATGGTGGCAATGGTGTGGCCTAGAGGAGGTGCAGAGTTGTCTCGGCAGATCACTACCCTTCGCCGCGCTCTGTGGTATCTCTGTCGTGGCGTGCCGAGGTAGTGGGACGCCCTTCGACAATGGCTCCGACTCTCCTAGCTCTTCGATGTGCAGAGTGATCATAGAGCAGCTGGCAAACATCTTCTTGATGGCGGATCTCCTTTCGACAGATCCAACAAAGCTAGCTCCAAGGCTTCTCGGTCCATGATGTGGTGAACTGGTGATGGGCGTTAAGTTCTCGGTATTGTTGTTTGTCTCAGCTCGCTTCTGGTTCATCTTCTGTTGTTCCCTATAGCTTCTTGTGTGTGTTGGGTCCTATCTATTGTACCCTCTATTTTGTATGTCACTTTTTATTCATAATAAAAATGGTTCAGTCCGTGTAAACCCATCGTAGCACCTGAAAAGAAAATTAGTTTATGATCGATTGTTCATATACAATTGTTGTTAATCAAGCAAGAAGAGCAGACCAACCTCTCAGTCCTCCTTTTT